GGGGTGGGTGTGGGTGTGGGTGTGGGTGGTATGGGTGGGTGTGGGTGTGGGTGTGGGTGTGAGGGTGGATGTGGATGTGGGTGATTGTGGATGTGAGTGCTGTTCTTTTGTTACCTCACACCCACACTCCTTTTTCGTGGTTTAAAAACATGAAGAATCTCTGTTGAATGCACGATTGAGTTCTTTCTTTTGTTGTTATTCTGCTGAAGTTGTTCACCGAATGATTCATTGTGTCCGCTCGATTATTGGTTAAAACGCTGAATTTAGATGATCAATACCCGTAGGTATTGGCATCGAGCAAGATGTAAATCTCTTAGTAATTTGTTATCATGACTTGAAAAATTACTAAAATAAACCCCCCGACACATTAGAAGACCCCACCCCTATAGTCGAGATGACCCTCTCTTGAATCAACAACTCAAAGGATAGATTAGAGGACCTGCTCACCTGGTTCTAAGGGGATCGTCAGAGGAGATGGGTGGGTCTTCTCATCTATCCTTCGCTTCGTTGATTCAAGGGAGGGTCATCTCTACTACAGGGATGGGGGTCTTCTAATGTGTCCGGGGGTTTAATACGGTTTAGATTACTAACTGGAAGATTTCTTGGAAGGATCTATGTTTTAACACGTCCAAAATATGGTACTTAGCGCCGGAAGTTTTTCTTTCAATCAACAGAAACAAGAAGGGTGATATAATCACGCGACGATCACTTTCATATGGTAAAGATTCTATTGAACAGATGAATAAAATCTGGAGTCTTGTCGGAACACCAGATTTAAATCTATTAAATGAAATTAAATATGAATGTTTGTATAGATTAGCCTTTAGGAGCACTTGTTCTTCTTATAGATCTATGAGGATATTTCAGAGAATTAGCTCACAAATCCAAGCAAAACTTTCAACAACTTTTTAATTATGAAGATACTAAGGATATATGAACAATCAATCGAAATGTGAATATTTTTTTTGTTAGCCATTCCTTGGAATCGAATTCATTTGTAAAAAACACACTTTTTTCAATTTCGATTCTCATTGCAATAAAACACGATTGTTTTTAACTATGACTCATCGATTTGCACAATATAGTGCGTCACCTATTCAAATGTTGCGTAATTACAATATATATATATGTAGTTAAACGATTCAGCCTTTGTTTCGAAAACATTAACTTCAACATGCCACAACGACAAGGCAAACGAAATGGTTTGAGAACAAACACAACATTGCGTTGTAATGAATTCGAGCGAAAAGCTAATCGAGGTGACTTTATTATTAATAAAGAAACTGGTATTACATTATCTTTATCAAAATCGAAACGATGGCAGATGCTAGATGATGAAGAAAATTCATTTCCAATTCGAAAAACAATACCTAGGCATATGGAATCTAATAATAGACCTAGTCTATATAGACCCGCTTCCTCTCATGCTGGTTATTTTGATGATTTCGATCGAGCACGGTATTATCAAACGATTAATAGTACACGATGTGATAGAAAACTAGAAGAAGAACCAATCGATTCATGGATTGATTTATCGTTTAAAAAGCATGAATATCCTCTACAACGACAATTATATAAGAATCATGCTACGCCATGTAAAGCGTGCCTTCGTACCGGTGGAGTTATACTATTTCGAGGACGTGGTAAAAAATCCTCAAGAAAAACAAAAGGAATGAAATCGTATCATTGGAAAGACTGGCAAGATGAATTCAATCTATGATTATTGGATACTCTTTTATTTTATGCAAAAAGTCACAATATTTTAAAATGTAAAATAGCTGTTTTGTCTGTAGAAATGAGTCAATATTAGACTGAATAAATATTTTAAGAGCTCCATGCGTCACTTTTTTGTTGCAGTAAGATAAGAATGATTCATGATGATAGATAAATAGGAGAGAAAAAGAAGATTTTGTCGCAATCAAAACGCAAATTTTAATGACTGAAGCGGACGATTACTGTTGGAACAAACACCTTTTGGGAACGTTTAAGTTCTATGACTATCAACCAATTTATCATCTTTCTAGTATGAAACTCATTGACAAAGATATGCGAATATTTGTCCACGAAGCCTTGAGAAATCAGTCATACAAGGAGCTCCATTTGACATCGAATCGGTTTATATCAGAGGACGCAATAATACTGGCTGAAACTGTCGCACGAAGCAATCCCGTTGACTTACTTGACCTTAGTAGTAATCGAATTTAAAGATGAAGGTGTTCGATATCTGGTCGAAGCACTTGAGGCTGTGGGTGTCTGTTCTTCTCACTCACCCACATCCACCCCAACAAGGAAAAGCTTCGAAGTATAATTCTCCATTTTCAACTAGATATATAATAGATTATAAAATTCGATAAACTAATTATGATGATGTAAAGTTTTCTTCTCTCTCAGAAATTGGTCTTTAAGAAGTTTCATTGATCGATCTCATTTTGTAAACAATATAATTGTAAACTATTACTTGGAATATTTTAATTTAAATGTTATTTTAGCTCTTTGTATTTTAAGAGTTTGCGTTGGAAATGCTTCCTAATCTACTGTACATATCCATGTAATAAATTTGAATAGAAGTTCTAACTATGTCTATATTATCAATATTTCAATATGATTGATGTTATATATGTAAGAAATTCAATTATTTTCATTTTTTCAAAACTGATTGAGATTTTTTGGAAGTATTATTTAAAAGTAGACATATTTTAAATCTTATTAAGTATTTTATTTTCCAGAGTCTATATTTTGTTTGGCGTGTATATTTAGTTAAAGAAAAGCAATATATAAGAGACAGACATCTGAAATTCGATTAATAGATATTTTTTTATGTATATCAAATATGATTGAACATACAATTGTATTTTACAAAGAACTAAATAAATTTTGACATACAAAAAAAAAGCAATTGAATTTCTTATATTGATATGCATAGTAGATTATGGATCATCCAGCACTAAACCTTAAATCATAAACAACTAAAATAACATGAAAGTAGAGGATTCCGAATAATAGCTTACGATGATTTCTTTCGGAAATGAAATCGATCAATGAAAATTTTATAAAGACAATCTATTGAAAGAGAAGAAAACTTTATATCATCGTGATTAGTTTATCAAACTGTATTATCTATAAGAATCGGTTGAATATGGAAATTCATACTTGGAAATTTTTCTTCTTTAATAGAATTATTGATATTGATTATTGAATACAAATAAAAACTAAATATTGTGTTAAGTAACACGTCTATAGTCAAATCTTGCTTAGAAGAAAAATGTCTAGAAGTTTTAACGAAATTTTATTCGTTATATTTAGATCTGTGATTAAAATGATGAATAT